TTCTGCATATATTCTCTCTCACAAACAAAAGGAAATGTAAAAGTTGACAGTGGTCGCAAATTTGCTAAACCAAAAATTCAGATATTTTGTTTAAATAATAAAAAAAAGAAATAAAATGAAGAATAAAACAAAGAAAAATTATAGACATATGAAGAAAAAAAAAGAAGGGGGGGGGGAATAATAAGTAAAAAATAACAAACAACAGATTATATAATACATACAATAATAATAATAATAATAAAAAAATAAAAAAAAAGGATGAAATTTTATTTAAAAAACCGGAATAATAAAACCGGAGAAAAAAGATATAATCTTTTCTTCAGCCCACACGATTATATCCGCAAAACAGAGTGCTTTCTGATATTGTATCAATAAAGCCAAAGCAAAATATATTAATACAATAGTGTGAGGAGCACTCAAAAATTTTTTTATAAAAATAACAACAAATATAATAGATCACAAAAAGTAAAAATAGCATGTAAAAACAGAAATAAAATAAAAAACACTTAAAAGGGACTATAAAGCGAGTAGCAAAATCAGATCAACTTACAAGGACAGAAAATTTTTCAAGAATGATTTTAAAATGTTTTCGCAGAAAGATTGCTAGATTACAAAATGTGAAAACAAAAGCGCAAATTGAGTGTAACAAGAGGGTTTTAAAGTGTCGTTCTTACTGCACTGCTGAAGTGATTTGTTATTCTGAGCTTTGATTTGTTAGTTACCAAGGATGGATATATATATGGATGGATATATACATGGATATATATATATATATATCCATACATATTTCCATATCCCGAAATGGATATATATATATATATATATATATATATATCATACTATCATACCTGCCAACTCTTCTGGATTTTCCGGAAGATTTTATTTTTATATTTAAAGTGGTATTAAATATATACTATTTTTTTCTTTTATAAACTTAATTTTTAAATTATTTTGATCACCACTATTCTTAGAAAAATTAGGCACATATATTAATATGCGTTTCTATCATGGTTGTCAACTTAAGGTTTCTCAAATACAACGTATTTGTTTGCTTAAAATTGAAGTTTTAATTCCATTTTAATACCACTGGGAAAAATGATAATGGAAAGGATTAAAAGTTGGCAGGTATGATATATATATATATATATATACATATATTCAAAGGTTTCGCTTTTGAACAGTAAATTATCTACCACTCTAAATTTCAAATATACACAGTTCAATTCTAAGGTAAGTAGGAATTTTATTTACTTTTCAAACCAAGCTGCATGTAATTACTATTACACATTTCACTAATTATGTTTGAATATAATGTTTCTTTTTTCACTGTTCAAGGTTGCAAATAGTGATTAATGTATCTACCTCCAATTACGTCTGTAAATAAGTACCAACGTATATTTTCAAATCATGCCTGTATATAATTACCATATTTAAATTGATTGTTATACAAAATGTTTTTAGTTTATCAAGCAAAGAGCTTGACTTTTAGAAATAGCTACCATAATGTTGCTTAAATCAAAATGTTTTTAAATCAATGTATATAATATTATTTCATGATGTGTAGGATTTCATGATTCACTGCGCGGCCCAGGTGCCCAGTTTTTGTTAAATAAGGAAAGAATTTTATTTACCGCCACCACGTAGACTGCTGACCTTAAAATTCCTACCACAATTATCCACACTATCACTCTGCGCAACTCAGGTGCCCACCTCAAAGATCGAAAGAAGAATGTTTTATTTACAATAGACAAACACATTGCTAAGTTAAATATCAAATTCTGTGAAAAGCCACCTCTTGCTCTACAGCAAATTTCAATCAAGAATTCCTATATGAAACTTTAACTGAAGACAAGAACATCAGACCATTAGTAGCATACTATTGCAGTGATGGATCATATTCCCGACATCAATAGCAGATACATAACCTCATTTTTATCATATCAGCTTAGCTAAAATTCATACTTTTACAGTATAGTCTTATCACCTTACTGAATATAATTACACAGTCAGAACCTCAATGATCCACATGAATACTCCTTTACTTCATTTGCATCCCACAACCTCATTGAAACACCACAAAGATCAGGCTCAAGATGAATGGGAAAACGGACGCCAGCGGCCTCAGGCAATACCTCCTACATCAGAAAGCCTCCACACGGTCTTTTATAAGTAGTCCGCGCAGACTATTTAAAAAGTGAGCCAGTTGTGCGCATGAACCCAAAACCTGTTATAAAAGTACTAGAGAGAAATGTATCATATATATTTGATAATTGAATCTGTAGTAGTTGACAAGTGAATAAAACAAATTTTTAGTCATATATTTGCTACCACTTTCATATTTTAACTAGATTTCGTATTAAATGACTCGTTCGGAAAGTGGATATTCTTCACAATGGTCTGATCGGACTACCTATAAAAAACCGTGTGGATGCTTTCAGTTTTAGGAGGCGTTGCCTCAGGTGCCCTGATGTTTTATACCAGGGGTGGCGAACCTTTATACACCAGCGTGCCATTTTCTCTAAAAAATTGCTTAATGAGGTCATAGACGCGCCATCAAATAATTTTGACTTCGTGATTATTGGGAAAATTATAATACTAAATACTATCAACTCAAAACTCTTTATTTCGATTGAAAAAAATACATTTTGCAATGTCTCAGTTATACAAGTATTTAAACTTTAAGTAACATCAATGTGACTTCTGTTGTTGCAGATTAGATGACAAATAACTTATATTAGGTTCTAAGATGTTAGTTTAAGCAGGACTGTTTATTTGTTTTTGTTAGTTATTTATCGTTAGCTTGTTTTTTACGANGCGCCTCCCAGGTCATCACCTCCTACATCAGAAAGCCTCCACACGGTTTCTTATAAGTAGTCTGCGCAGATTATTTAAAAAGTGAACCGATTGTGAGCATGAAACCAAATTCTATTTTAAAAGTGGCTGAGAGAAGTTTGTCATGTATGTTTGAGAATTGAATCTGTAGTGGTTGACAAGTAAATAAGACAAACTAATCATATTCAAAAATTAAACAAATTTTTAGACATATATTTGCTACCACTTTCTTATTTTTACTAGATTTTCTATTAAAGGGCTCTTTCGTAAACTGGTTTACCTACGTAGTGGTCTGATCGGACTACTTATAAAAAACCGTGTGGAGGCTTTCAGTTGTAGGCGACGTTGCCCAGGTGCCCAGTTTTCGTTTAATAAGAAAAATTTTTTATTTACAGCCACCACGTAGACTGCTGACCTTAAAATTCCTACCACAATTATCAAAACAAACCTAATAGATGGGATAGGGGCCTCTGCGCAACTGAGGTGCCGAGCTCAAAGATCGAAAGAAGAATATTTTATTTACAATAGACAAACACATTGCTAAATTAAATATCAAATTCTGTGAAAAACCACCTCTTGCTCTACAGGAAATTTCAATCAAGTATTCCTATATGAAACTTTAACTGAAGACAAGAACATCAGACCAATAGTAGCATACTATTGCAGTGATGGATCATATTCCCGACATCAATAGCAGATACATAACCTCATTTTTATCATATCAGCTTAGCTAAAGTTCATATTTTTACAATATAGTCTTATCACCTTACTGAATATAATTACACAGTCAGAACCTCAATGATCCGCATGAATACTCCTTTACTTCATTTGCATTCCACAACCTCATTGAAACACCACAAAGATCAAGCTCAAGATGAATGGGAAAACGGACGCCAGCGGCCTCAGGTGCCCAGATGTTTTATACAGTTTAAGAATTTTATTTACGACGGTTTTTATTGGCGACGGTTTGGGAAACATCTAATTTTGAAAACACTCTCGTTTGTCTTGTAAATTTTTCGTCGATGCATCCGATTTTCCACAGTAAAAACACAACAGATCTTTCTGTTTTTTAAGTAGTGGCTTTTGACATTTCCTTTCCATACTTCTAGATTATCCCTACCTTTTTTCTCCTTATTTAAACTATTTTTCTGAAATTAAGCTAAATGGGTACAGACATTATTTTATCTCATTGTTTCAAATCATTAAATTTCTTTGCATCTGTTAATATATCATTCTGTACTCCACAGTTTATTTTAATGTATAATAACTGAGTATTCGTATTTGTGTTTAGTCCCTAAACCAAGCAAATGTCATGAAAGTACTTCACTTTGTCCATATGACGAGAATATTTTACGTCCTAAACGCTGTGAGTGTGTAAGGAATATAACGCAATGACACTAAAAATAAATTTTAAAAAATCAGTTTAAGGGGTCAATGACTTTTGAACTCGTGAATTTGCTTTCGAGTTTTTGTTACTTCGTCACTTTGTCTGGTCACCAAAACATTCTAAAACTTAACCCTTTGCAATTCCAAGTTCTTTGTCACAGAATATCAAATATTTAACATCGAATGATATCATCGAAGATATCAAATGTATTATGTTTATATATGGTAACCATGTTCAGCGGCTGCGTTAAACACGCTCACCAAATGCGATAAAATCGTAAATTTGGCAAACATAATTATTTTTTGCGGAAGTATTGGCGAATGATTTTGGAAAGAAAAAAATATATTTAACTCGATCCTCAAATCAGTATTTTTTATGCAATTTCAATAATTTTCGATAGATGAGCCGCATGACCAATTATAATTGAGTCCAAATAATACATGCCTGAAACAAACTAACGTGAAATATATTTTTTTTAGAAAAACAATTAATCCAAACTATTTATTAAAATTTACAATTGGCGGAAATTTACGAAAATTGGTAAATACTTATGATATTTGGCTAATTTACTGGCTAGTAATGTGAAATCCTTAGTGCGAGCCCTGATATTATATTATGATTGCTAGTTTTCAAATAAAAATATTGTATTACACCATTTAGTGCTTACATAAGTTTAAATTGCTTTATAAAGTACTGGCAGTGCAAAGGGCTATTCTGAAGAAATGTTCAAGACCTATGTGAATAAATAAACAATTGATCTAAGCAAAAAAATTAACAAAAATCAATTAAAAATGATCTATAATTTTGAACGGTACACATATTCATCTGAAAATGTTGTGTTTTTCTTTTCAGTTTCTTTCTTTTCGTTTTCTTCATTCCAAGGCTGTAATTCAGCGGAAGCAAAAATGTCGTAGAAAAGACCACACAAGAAATGGATAATAGCTGAGCTAATGTAAACAAATGCCCAGTTTCTAAGTGTTTGCTAAAAAGAAATTAAAACAAAATAGTCATATTTTGAAAACACATTAAAAGTTAGTTTAAAGACAAAATCTTTTTAAAAAAATCAGCTATGTGTATTTTTATCAGTTACAAAATTGAGTTTCTTTACTAACATTGGTGCAATTTCTAAAGCATGTAAATTCAATTAAAAATAATAATAATAAAGCGAAAAATGCGATAAAAGTCACAAATTTACGTAAAAAATATTTAGAACAAGGGCGGTTTGTATTAAAATAAATGAATAAAATACGAAATTTATCGTAGTCAATAAAGATAACACATCTACCACTAAGATTATTAAATACTAATTAATTATAATATAGAACACGTTAAACGAAATTCACACATGTATTTAAAAATTAATAAATTAGCATTGTCTAAGAAATTCGTTATTCTGAAGGACCTCAGTACGATTTATGAATTCGCTAACAACGATGAATGTTGCTCAATGAATAGTTGACTTTTTAGAGAAGTAGTGCTCAAAACTACGAATAAATTATTACACTTCTCCCGGACAATAATTAAAGATAGAAAATATTAATGAGCGTGCATAATTTTCAACAGCATAAATTTGTAGTGAAATTCATTCACATCGAATTCAATCAGGAATAGGAAGGTTAATGTGATGTAACTATCACTACAATTATTAAACATCATTTTACTACTATATGACATGCTAACGCAATTCATATTAGTCCTTTCAATAAATGATGCAAAGATGCCAACTGCTCCACTATCTGGAAATGTTTTAATTGGTAGCGAATTAAATACTTGTAAAATAAGCATACGCCTACAGTAAAAAACAGTAATTAAATAATTAATGCTTTCAGGTTGCATGTTATATGATTCTTATAATTTTTGATATTTAGTGGTGGAAAAATACTAAATTAAAAATAACTTAAATTTCGTTACCGTAAGAAAATACTATTTTGCAAGGCGGAGCAAGTTGGCATCTCTGGATGATGGTTGGCTTGCTACCAGAATGTTGCAAAATCCAAAATGTTTTTATACAATGTTGTTACTTCATGATGTATGGGTCATGATGTATGGGTCTATTTTAAAAGTACGTGAGAGAAATTTATCATATATATTTGAGAGTTGAATCTGTAGTGGTTGACAAGTAACTAAAACAAACCAATTATATTCATAAATTAAAAAAATAAAAACATATTATAAATTTTTTTTAAATTTGCAAAATGTGGTAGTTATCAATGCATTATTTCCTTCTGAAATAGACGGACAGCAAAATATTTTAGTCACCTCTTTTTTTTTATTGGCAATAAATGCATGACAAGTCTCACTCGTCAAATATACCCAAAGGGTTAAATGGTTCTCTCTTTAATCAACATCGAAAAAAGATATGCTACTGTACAAAACTAATATTCTGATTTATTAATTCGAAAACTTGCCTAAGAAGAAAGAGCCTAATATTTTTATCTGTGAAAGGAGGATCTTATTTGTCGGCAGAGAGCATCGGAAGAAGAACAGATTAGAAGTTTACAAAATTTATTAGAACACTGGTGTAATAATGTTCATAAAATTAAACAGGATTAGATTTGCAAGGCACATCTACCATTTAGATACAATCAGCCCAACATATGCGATATTTTAATGAAAACTAATTAATTCAGGGATGTCCAAGACTTCGACAGCTGGACTTCATTCACATGGCTAATGAGTGTACTAACAAGCAATGGAAACAAGGAGAATGCAATGGTGAAATATTCTGAATAAGGCCAAGACCCACCCCGGGCTGCTATGCCAATGATGATAATGCATTCCATCTATAAAACTTGTTACTAAGTTCATTTGCATCACTTACCCCACTTTTAAGAATAACTCCAACAAACGCTGGTGCAAGAAAACCTGGCAATGTTGCAATTGCATTTGTTATTCCAAGAAGAGTTCCTAAAAATAAAATAACTATAAATATGTAATAATCGATGTTTCATAAATAACATTTCTGGCACAGTGTAGCCAATCTAGCAAGACTAATTCAACAAACTATGGAAAATAAATGTAAAACGATCTAAGTCCAAAATAGAAAATTTTTCTGGAGAGCAAAAAAAAATGAATAACTCCGGTTTCACTTCTTCGGGTTCGTAGCCATTAAAAGTTTATAAATACCTTCTTAATGTTATTATTATTTTATATGGTAAATTATTCGTAGTCTTTAAATTATTCGTTATTTTTATTGTTATTATCGTTAGTTTTGTCGTGTTATTTCCGTCGTATGGGAAAAAAATTGCGAGAGTCTTATTATTGAGCACTGATAGCACTTGGGAAGCTCTTTACTCTGTAAAAAAGTAGTATTAATAAGAAAAAAATTAACTGTCACATATAATTACTTTCTTCGAAATAAAACGAAAATATTCTTCCAAAAAAGATATTTTTTTAAAAACTCTTTTCAATATAAGTAGTAGCCCGATGTGAAGCTGTATCCACCCAGGCAAAGAAAGTAAACAGTACCAGGCAAAGTAGTAAAAACCATCTAGATTTCTTAAGAATTAAAGTGAAAGTGTTTGTTAATTATTTTTAATTGAAAATAGTTTACCTGCATTTATTGTTTTCGATGCAAGAACTAAATCTGCATGCATGTTGAGACTCAAAGTACATTTTGAATAAAATGGATATTTTATTCTCTCCAAAATCAGTATAGATAATAATAACTATAACAATATAAATATATAACAATAATAACTTTAGATAATAATAACAATGACAGAAATATTGTCTGTTGAAGTGATAAGAGCTACTTTATTGCAAGGTTGTATTAGAAATATATTCTACTTACCAGCAAACTTCGGGCTCATGTCCACGTGATTAACCATAAAACTGGAATAAAGCAAGCCATTCAATCCAAAGGACAAAGAAAATAATACAATTATGATAATTGGACGGCAACCCACAAAGGCGATAGCTACCGCACACAAAGCTGGCCCAAAAAATGCTGAAATTTAAAAATATATATAAATATTGCTATTAACAAATAATAAATTATTTATTTAAATAATAAGTTTAAGCTATGTTCTCAAAGTGGGAACTTCAGAATCTTAATCTGTAATGAAAGAGTAACTGACTTTCTTCTACTAAGAGTTCTTGACATTGTATTGCTTAATAATCATGAAAATGGAAGCACATACTCTTAATAGGGTTCACATGGTGAAACAATCAATAATAATAGCAATATATCGACTTCTATACATCTGTCACCTTTCAATCTTTCCGTTAATGTGTTTTCCAAGTGATGGTAAAACAATTACCAAATAACAGTCTTACCAACTTTCTATGATTTCTGTAAAAATTTATTCGAGTGGTAGTTAAAGATATCTAAAATAACATCACTTTATTGTCAAGCCTCCAAAATGTATTGATGCTTGCTTGAATAAAATGGTATTAAATATAGTTTTAAATCGAATATATTAGGTCTATCGAAGAGTTCTGTCCGTGAAGTAGCTTTAATATCCAGGATGCAAAAGGAGCCCTTTTAAGAAATAATTGATCGGGCATGTACCGTTAAATGTACATAGCTGGTAACTCTTCCGGTTTAACCGGAAGATTTTACTTTTCATATTTAAAGAGGTAGTGAAACTACCATTATTCTATTAAACTTTCTGATTTATATTTATAATTATTAATTAGTTTGTCCGCAATTACGTACAACAAATATATAAGAGCATAATCATTTACACGACAACTAATTTCAACCTGGCCAAAATATAAATATATATTTTTGAGTAAAATTGTTTACTAAGGGTTAATTGTTTTACTATCACTTGGAATATGCATACTTGGAAAGAGTGAAATTTGGAAGGTATGAATGTTCATATCAGATATACCGCTCAGTTCAGCAAGATACTTTATTTACTAATTTGAATATGTATGGATATGCTCGTATGCGTCTTTTTTGCTATCTCTTTAAACCCTTAACGCATTTGCAAGTGTCTGACACGAGCGAGAATTACTGCACATGCCCGTGTCTTCTATAGGCAATCTTATTCTATTTCGAGTTTTTTTTTCTAATGCCCGTCTTACATCCATCCTAGTAAATATAACTGACACTATCCCTATATATTCATTTTCTGGTTAAAAAATAAATAAATAAACCTTCGATCATTTTTTACCAGTTTTCAAGAAAAAAACTCCTGCATTACCGGGTTAAGACATAAAATTATCATTGATTTAAAAGGTAAATATCATACCACTTTCTGTTATAAAAAGATCAATTTTTAGTAATGTAAAAAAAAGACATTATGACAGAACACAGCATTTTTAATACATCCTCAGAAAAAAAGGCAGGTTTGGGTAGGATTGTGTTCTCACAGTGAATAGTTTACTTAATAGAATAACATATTGTGTGGTGATAACAAATGCATAATTTCGTTCATTCTTTTAGATTTTTGTAAGTACTGTGGGAATTTTTACCTTATTTTGAGTTAAAAATTATTAAATTGCATGTACTTACCAATGCTATTCATTATTTTCCTGATTGTGGTAACACGTAGATAGTCACCAGCTCTTAAATAGTCAGCTACTATACTTGCAGGGAATGCAAAAAGGGCCATCATCAAAAAAGGAATGCCCGATACCATTCCATTCTAAAAGAAGCATGTCCGTTAAATGCTATATTTCTATTAAATTGAATTCTTTTTTTAAACAAAATATTCATTATTAAGGATATAAAATAGATGTAAGACAAATCAGTGAAAATGAAGCATTTTTTCCACTTGAATAATGCTGATTATAGTAGTTTTTTATCATTACTTGTTTTATTTTGCATTATCGAAAACTTAATTACAAGTTTTAAAATTACCACTTAAATAAAAAAGAACCCGGTATTTTTCATAAAAATATGAAATCCCACATTTATATTGATTTCTATTGTAATGTTAATATAAACGCATCTCAAAATTTTTTAAGAAAAAAACATGTATTAGTAGAATAAAATAAAACAATTAAGTAAGTAACATTTAATATTATTTATAAATAATTTTTTTAAGGTAAACTAATTTTATAATTATTATTCTCAATTTGTTTTGGCGATAAAATATTTCAGCGATAAAATATTTCAGCGAAAATTGTGTTAACGGAATGTCACACACAGAAGATTTCTCTGAGGATTTTTAACATTAATGAATCAACGACGAGGAGAAATTTTCCTCCGTGGAGGATTTTTTGATGAAACTAACCCGCATTTTCATATAATGGAGATGAAAACCACGAAAACCTCCCACGATTTGCCTGACTGCTGTGGAGCTCAAATCCTTGATCCGCTACCACTGATGATATTTTTACGGAAGTACTTTGGTCGTGGTGAGCAAGGTGCGGAACACGAATCGACCAGCAATCAATTTGGATCCGAACATGAAACACCTTATTGAGAGGCGAGTGCTCTATCCCCTGAGCTACCACGGCTCAGAGTTTGCGATTTTATTTTTATTTTATAACCGTCGTTGAACATCCAACCCAATTTTTCAATTTACGAACACTTATGTTCAACTCCGTAGCCTTGTTATTTTAAACCCAATCCAGAAGACAAGGGAACTCCTGAACTAAGTATTGGGAAAAATATGCTTTCGTGGAATACTTTTTGATGGAACTAACCCGCATTTGCGTTACATGTAAGAATAACCACGAGACTCTACCACGGTTATCCTGACGGTAAAGGGAATCTAACCCATGGTCCGTGTACCACTGAGGAAATTTCATGTCAGCACTGTGGTCGGTACAAGCCGGATGCGGTTTCGTAACGACCAGCTATCGTTGGGTTAAGTACTCGGTTCATCTAATAGGAAGGTGAAAGCTCTATCCCTTGAGCCACCATGGTTCAGTGTTTGTAATTTGAAACATATTATAGAATTGAATAGATACCACTCTACAAACTTACATCTTTTAAATCAAAGTGCAAAACATTACTCAAGTATGTTGGCATCATTGTCAGCAAAGTATAAAATGCCCAATTCTGTCCAAAATGTGCTACAATTACTGCCCACATAGGCAGTGATGTCCAGATCGATTTCCACGGAATTTTCATACCCTAACAAACAAATGAGATACTTTTGATAAAAAGGTTAAAAAAGTAAAAAAATGCACTATCTCACTTTCCACCAATAATAGTTATTATTATTTTATTTTAATTAATTGTTTATTTTTCTGTTCGATCTTCAGGTAAACTAACTAACTTTAACGATTTTTTCTTGTACTAGCCAATTTTATTCTTTAATATATAAATCTGAGTATGAAAAATGTCATTCAGAGTTATTTTAACTGCCACTACCGTGACAACGCGGTTTCTTATGGGTTGTCCGATCAGACCACTATAAAGGTAAACCAGTAAACGAAAGAGTCATTTAATACGAAATTAAGTAAAAATAAGAAAGTGGTAGGAAATATAAGTTAAAAAATTAGTTTAATTTATGAATATGATTGGTTTGTCTTATTAACTTACCTCAACCACTACTGATTAAATTCTGAAATATATATAATAAATTTCTCTCCATTACTTTTAAAATAGAGTTTGGAGTGGTCATGCACACAAGTGGTTCACTTTTTAAATATTCAGCGCAGACTACTTAACGTGTGGAGGCTTTCTGATTTAAGAGGTAATGTTCGGGTCCTCTGTAGTTTTCCTTAGGAACACCACAATTCAGGAAAAAAAATTAACTTGGTATATTTCCGTACTCTTTGTAATCGATTCACGTGACAGCCAGATACTACTCGTTTTGCAAAACATTTTATAGTCTGGTAAACATTTAAAAACTTGACTCTCAGAATTTTAGTTAATTGCTGACATTTAAAAAGTTTCAACACAGGAAAGACCGAATAAAGGCATTTCGTATAGACTTTTATTTACAATATAGTAACGAGTAAAAATAGTTTAAAACAAAATTAAAAAATAATACTCTAAAATATCAAAAACCACTAGAAATTACTACTAAAATTTCCAAAAAACGTTGAAAGTTGGCATCCGTGAAAGAGTCTGAATTAGTAGATTTTATATGTATGTTTAGGTTGTTTGAATGTAAAGGAACAGAATTATACTAAGTTAAATCATTAAATGAACTACCACTCTAAATATTCAAATGAAAATTTTCGGATATATCAGAACTAATATATGCGAAAAGAATGTTAAACTTGTTGCATTAGCGCCTATTAATATGCACTTTAAGAAATTATAAAAAATAAAGAACTTTTACTATTGAATAACTTTAATGTTCGTAAACTTAATGCAAAATAAAAAGAAATTTTTTTATCGAGTATTATAAATCTCGCTTTAATTAAATAAAATCGCTGCTTTAATTAAGTAAAATAAATGCTTTAATTTAATAAAATAAATAAGGTTTAAGTGCTTTGAAAAATACAAAATGAGATTCAAAACTTAGTTTGAAATATTTTTCAACTTTAAGAGTTATGTTTAGTAAACTATATTTTCTTATATAAATGCAACTAAAATATCACTCATTATAAGAGATTTGATAAATATTATTTTATATTTTTTCTTTTTGATTTGGTTAAGAAAACTTTTCTAGAAGTACAAACAATTAGAAAAAAAATTTCAAGCAGTTACTAGTAATAACACACCTAAGTCTCTACTTCTCGAATATCGTGTGTGGTAATAATACTGTTCTAATATGTCGTGATTTTTAATACTGTTCCAATACAGAGATACTTTGAAAGTTTTAATATATTCGTAGCGAATGAAAAATTAAAACTTGTTGAATAAATGATAATTTCGATTCTATATTTTTGAAAGAGCTACCAGTGCACATTTGCTAAAAAGTAGTTCCTTATATGAGGCTTTGAATTTTTGATACGTAGTGGTAGAAATAGTAAATTTAATAAAAGAATTTAATAATTCATGTTTAAAAATTTAAAATCAAATTAATAACGGTAATGTTGTTAAACTTTGTTACCACTGGAAATACAGGTCAAGGAAGATAATAATAATAATAATAAACTAAACTAAACTCAGTGGCGCGACAGCCCATAGAGGGCCAAGGCCTACTGTGCCCATCTCAGTTTTCTTGACCTTGGGCTCTGGGGTGCAGGAGCAGATGTTCCGGTCAGGTGGTCAGCCGAACGCGGAACCCCCAGTNAAAGTAGTTCCTTATATGAGGCTTTGAATTTTTGATACGTAGTGGTAGAAATAGTAAATTTAATAAAAGAATTTAATAATTCATGTTTAAAAATTTAAAATCAAATTAATAACGGTAATGTTCTTAAACTTTGTTACCTCTGGAAATACAGGTCAAGGAAGATAATAATAATAATAAACAGGGAAAAAAAGATTTTTATGAGCCAAGCCACAGAAAGAATTATTTTGGTATCTTATTTTTAAAAAATATATATACATCAACCACCTTGCTTTTTGCTTGGTCAAGACCTTCTTGAATGTATATTAGTTCTTCTTTCGATATAGTAGGATGATCATCTGGTGTTTCGTGTATTAATAGAGCCCATAAAATAAACCATACACTTCCCATCAAGCCTAAAAGCGAAAAACTATTCTGAAAATAACATAAACAATGCCATTGTTAAAATGCTTTTCTTTTTTTAAACATTTAACTTACCACAAGCAGTTAATTAGAAACATTGAGGTATTGTTTCATGCGTTTCTTTTCTCCTTGAACCAAAGGAAATCAAACCCAAGTAAAAATAGTTTAGAAATTGTATTTTTCTACATAAATTTACTCTTTAATAGACGCATCTGACATTGCTATTTAGTTGTTATCTAAACTAGCAGAATATTTCGTCAAATGCCAGTAACATAGAGTAGAGTTGACCCCTTGTAAGAAGAAGAGTATTTCGCTCTATGGAATGAGATAACATCTCGTCGGATGGATTAATTCTTAAGAATTCACAATAAGCTGTTTCATACAAAATAAGATAAAAAACAGTATTTTTTTTTATGAAAAAGCGTTGCAACTTTTGAAATATTTATCCTATTACTCAATTAAAGAAGATAAAACAATATATGAGGAAAATAATGCATTGCTTTACTGCGCCTCATACAGCTATGTATGATGAGCAAAAAGGTACTTGTATGAAATCGTACTTTAGTATACAACACCCCTATAATTTCTAAACAACAAGTCTTGTCATGTTTGTCTTGTCATCTTGTCATGTTTGGTTTTCTTTTGTTTGGAGCTAAAGTAACGTAGGAAAAGTACTATACTTGTCGAGATAGTAACTAAATAGCAATGTCAGATGTGCAGATGAATAAATTTGTACTTTTTTTTACAAAAGATTTTTTCTTTGAAACTTCTGATTTATTCCACGAAACTTCTACATTATTTCAATGGACTTGTATTTGACTTCAGCCGATTCACGTTAGAAAAACGCTTAGGAATCAATACCCCACTTGTCTAAACAGCTATGTCAGACGAGAAAATAAGTACTTTTGTATTTTTTACTTTGTACAGAAAACCTTCATAGCTTTAAAACTATAAACCCGATCTGTGCGAAATAAGCATCATTCCATTTAGCATACAAAAATTTCAATGCAATAAGTAGAAGTATGTATGTTTCTCATCTATTTTGTTGCCTTACACTCCTTCTGCCAAATCAAAAAGCGAGTACAAGCATTCCCTCCTACATCTGAAAGCCTCAACGCGGTCTTTTATAAATAGTCTGAGCAGACTGATCAAAAAGTGAACCAGTTGTGCGCATGAACCCAAATTCTCTTCCAATCCAATTCTTTTTTTTTTTTTTTTTTTTTTTTTTTTTTTTTTTTTTTTTTTTGTTTATATTCTGTTTATAAATTCTCTTTCAATTGGGAAAAATTTATCATATTTATTTGACAATTGAATTTGTGGTGGTTGACAAGTAAATAATACAAACCAATCATATTCAGAAATTAATCAAATTTTTGACATATATTTGCTATCACTTCCTTAAATTTACTAGATTTTACATTAGATGGATATTTTGTCAACTGGTTTACATACCTGCCAACTTTTAATCCCTTCCATAATCATTTTTTCCAGTGGTAGTAAAATGGAATTAAAACTTCAATTTTAAGCAAACAAATACGTTGCATTTGAAAAATCTTAAGTTGACAACCATGATAGTAACGCATATTAATATATGTGCTTCATTTTTGTAAGAATAGTGGTGATTAAAATCATTTAAAAATTAAGTTTATAAAAGAAAAAATAGTATATATTTACTACCACTTTAAATATCAAAAACAATCTTTCGGAAAATCCGGAAGAGTTGGCAGGTATGGGTTTACATTAAGAGGTTCGAGCGGACTGTCTATGAGAAACCGTGTGGAGGCTTTCAGTAATAGGAGGAGTATGAGGAGGAATACTTGAAGTTTACCAAAAAATGTAAATTGTTGCTTTTCTTCCAAATTTCAATTTTTGTTAATTTTTGAACTTACCCACCATTCGGTATTTTCAAATGTTAATTATTGCCGTGCTTCTTACCACAAAGATAAAATACAGATGGCCATCCACCCAAGAAAGAACTTTCACTCAGAATTCCAGTGACCATATTCGTTGCGAGAGTGCCCAGCATTGTTCCTAAATTCATAGCAGTGGATATTCTACTTCTTTCCATTTTCGGCACCCATCTGCTAATCAACACATTCATTGCTGGAAAGGCAACCCCCTTTAAAAGTTAAAAAAAAAATTATAAGAGTCGAGAAAATTTTACTAAAAAACATATTGCATTAAATAATCGTGTTTAACAAGCTATACTCATTGCATGATTGTGTTAAATAAAATATGCACATCGCGTTAAATAATCATGTTATATACTAAATATACTCATTGCATAATTGTAATAAATAATCATGTTATACTGGATATACTCATTACATAATTGAATTAAGAAAAATATAAACATTGCATTAAATATCCGTGCTGTTCCAGATATATTCATTGCATAATTGCATGAATAAGATATGAACGCATTGCATAATTTTATGAAAATAGATATTGCTGGCTAACAAATAAAACAAACTAGGACAAGATTTTAAAACCTTGAGTTATTTAGTTTTTCTTCTCTGAAAAATAAACTTTTTTGGTCTAGTGGAGTTCTTTAATTTTGCTTTAAACTTTTTATATCATACAGAGAAAATGATCTAAGACCATCTTTCATTGTTATCGATGCATTTTTCAGGCTAAAGAGCTGATGATATGGTTCCTTACTTAACAATGAAAATCTAGATTTCTTTGGTTGTCATCAGCATAAATAAGCAAAAAAGAGAAAAGAGAGAGTAAAAGAATATTTATTGACTTTTACCCCAGAAAGTCCTATTGCGGCTCTCAGTACCACCAACGCCCATACATTCCATCTTGCAGCTAAGGGTGTCAAAAATGTCAAAAGAGATGTCATCAAAATCCCGATGCCATAGATCCACTTGGCGCCGTACATTTCAGCCAATATGCCAGCCGGAAGCTGTGTCAGAATGTATCCATAGAAATAAGATCCAATTACTTGTCCTTGAATACTTGAATCCCAGTCAAATTCTCCAAATGTCTAAGAATAGAAAAAAAAAGACCATCAAATCGCTTAAATTAATTTCATAAGCTCCATACAAAAAGGGTATTCGAAAAAATTGGAAACTGCTAAATGTCTCGAGAAATACCGTGACGTCCTGTAACTAAAATTCCAAGCAATTTCTCAGATGTAGGCCGATCTGACCACTAAAAAGTGAACTTTTCAGGGTTTTTATGAATAAACTTAGCGAGGCTAACTAATATAAGAAGAATTATGAGACGATGAAACATCCAACGCCTATATCTAAAACGCTGCGTGTGAATTTTATTTTTATTTTTGATTTATTTTAGAACAGAACGAGACTGGCTTTTGGTTTGAAGAGGTTCAAATTAGTTGCGTATTTATTTTAACTGCTGCTTGATAAAAAAAAAAAGAGTCTTTACTATTTTCCAATTGCACTAAATCATATTTTAAATTTATTCTTCGGTAATTCTACTTGCTCAGTTCCAGTCATATATTGATTTGAATGTTTCTAATTATAAATCATTTGAAAGTTCCTATGCAACGCCATTTTGTTCCAGCACTTTCGTAGTGTGGCTTTTGAAATGATGGCATAGTTATCAAAAATTTTGGAAGCTTTCAATTTTAAATGTCTACCCCTCAATAAAATATTTTACAAAAAACGAAGTAGTTGGCAGACCTGTGCACCACAAGCCTGCCAGCTACTACGCTTTTTGCAAAGCATTTTATAAAGTCGTAGATGTTTAATTAGCAAAGCTTTTCAGAATTTTTGATAAATTTGATAGCATTATAAAAGCATTACTACGAGAGATCTGGAACAAAGAGGCGTGAGAACTTTTAAATTAGGCTTTCATTTCGTTGATAGTCTCTTAACCGGTTAACGCCCAGCGTCATATATTTAGGACAGTTCCTTTTTTCAAAGACATTCATTGTGGTGGGAAACTTTTTTCAGTATCTTTATTTATCTGGGTGAATTAAAGGATTCTCAGATACCACAATGNCATTTTTCCCAGTGGTATTAAATTGAAATTAAAACTTCAATTTTAAGCAAACAAATACGTTGCATTTGAAAAAACTTAAGTTGAGAAAGATGATAGTGACGCATATAAATATATGTGCTACATTTTTGTAAGAATAGTGGTGATCAAAATCATTTGAAAATTATGTTTATAAAAGAAAAAATAGTATATATTTACTACCACTTTAAATATGAAAATAAAATCTTCCGGAAAATCTGGAAAAGTTGGCAGGTATGGGACAGTTCCTTTTTTCAAAGACACTCATAGTGATGGGAAACTTTTTTCAGAATTTTCATTTATCTAGGTGATTTAAAAGATTCTCAGATACCACAATGATTTAGTTATTTCTGACTAGATCTAGAATTAAAAGGAGCAAGTACTTTTTGATCTATCAAAGACTTTTTGAATGCCCTAACAGTAGAAAAACCAATTAATTTCGATAATATATTATACCACCTTTTCCATAAAACCACTTCTTGTATTATTTCAATATATAAAGTCGGGACAAAACGGGTTAATTATTGAATAAAATATACAAATTGGTAATTTTTATTATCGAAGTTGTTTTGATGCGCTAACTGGTTAACCTTTAACCCGTTTTGTCCTGATTTTATATATTGAAATGATACAAGAAGTGGTTTTATGGAAAAGGTGGTATAATATACTATCGAAATTAATAAGGTTTTTAACAGTTAGGGCTTTCAAAAAGTCTTTGATAGATCAAAAAGTACTTGCTCCTTTTAATTCTAGATCTAGTCAGAAATAACTAAATCATTGTGGTAGCTGAGAATCTTTTAATTCACCCAGATAAATGAAAATACTGAAAAAAGTTTCCCATCACAATGAATGTCTTTGAAAAAGGGAACTGTCCTAAATATATGACGCTGGGCGTTAACCGGATAAAGTAGTCTGTGGAGACTATTTTAACGATTTTTTTCCCTCTCCATTTAATGCAAATACAAGTTAGTTTCATCAAAAAGTCATCCACGAAGGGTAGTTTTTCTTGATCCAGGAATTCTCTTGTATTCTGGATTGGGTTCAAAATTACAAGGCTACGGAGTTGTACATTGGTAGTCTTAAAATCAGAATAGGGTCGGCTGTTCAAAGTCGGTTATAAAGCAAAATATATTTAATTATATAAAATTTATGAAATGTAATTAATAGCAATAGCACAGTTTTTCGTTGTGTAGTACAAGTTGAAAAGTTTATATAAAAAAGGATAGAGTAATACAAACTCCAACTTAATTCTCAATATACATTTTTAAATATTCATTCAGTCAGTTATTTTTAAAACGAAATTAAAATATTTGAAATATTTAATTTAGCTTATGAATTTTACGTATATTTATTACATGAATTATAGTATTATTATATTTATTATTATATATATTGTAATATTTCATATTTTATTTAGAGCTTGAAATATTTAATTATTATTTATTTAAACTTCGCGCAACTATTTGAAAAACGTTAGTATAACAATTTGAAAAAAATATGTATGTTAAACAATGCATAAAACAGTTTGAAAGCAATGTATGAAACAATCGAAAGATAATTAAAAAATATCTATAACTGTACATTTCCGAATTTTTTTAAAAAAAATGATTTCATTGGTTCTTTTAATATTCAGATTTTGACACCATTTATGACATATTACCGTAGATTTTATATTAGTACATATATTACAAAATATTTTTAATAAAACTTACCTCGATGTCATTTTCATTGGTTAAATTTTTTGGTATTATCAACTCAGGACATGTTATAACCGTTTCATTGGTTCCATTGTCTGTGTGAGTTTTGCCTACCATGGCTACCATTGCCACGCTGAGATTTACTCGCATTGCATAGAGATTGATGTAACCGAAGAAGCCTAAGATTGTGAGCACAAACCGTGCTGGAATCACTGTTGGAAAATGTAACATTTAAGTTCCAAGTAAAATATAGTTTTTAGTTGCAATAGAAAACTTACAGAACATCCCTAGTAACATTCTACCTTGACCCCAGTTGGGCTAAATATAGGTCCTACATGAACATCCACATAGAGACCAATATTGGGATGTCTAGGTGCTATAATATTAGTTCTATATAGTGCCAATATCGGCCTGTATAAGGGCAATATAGGCATATGAAGGCTCGATATAGGACGAATATTGGTTGTAAAGTGGCTGTGAAATATCGGCTGTATCGGACAAACAATATCGAACCAATATTGGAAAATAACGGCACTTATTGAGCCAAGATTCGTGAATATTGGTCCATTGAGGTCCCAAGTTATTTTGCTGCTAGGTATATTGCAATTTTAATATTTTGTATATTACAATATTCATTTTATTACATTAATATTATCATTTTATTAATATTGCATTTTACAACATTTACAGAACATGCTGCTATTTTACTGTTGTAAAATACAACATTCATTTCAAACGTAAAGTGAAATATAGCTTTCGGTTACATTGGAATACTTACAATATTTATAAATCATGTTGCATTTTTACTGTTATAAAATATAGCATTCATTTCAGTGAAAAATGAATTGTTTTGAGTTAGCGGTACTCTCTTATGGTAATTAAAATTATGATACTGCAACAATGTTATGAATATAAATACATATCATTGCTGTTGTAAAATACAACATTCATTTTCGTGCAAAGTGAAATGCTTTGTGGAAACTTATAACTTAAGTTATGGTATTATTACAAATACACATTACTGTTGTAGAAAAATTCAACATTCAGTGTAAAGTGGAATACAGTTTTTATTGACCTGTAAAAAATTGTGATATAGTTACTAAATTACATTTATGATATTATGATAAACACACATTATTACTGGTGCAAAATACAATCTTCATGTCAATGTAAAGAGAAATGCAGTTTTTACTCACCTCTAAAAACTTATGAAATTAAAGTTATAATATTACAATTATGATGTCATGAAAAATACACATAATTACAGTTGTGTATTAAAATTATGATAAATGCACATTACTATTGTAGTAAATTTTAACAACCATTTCAGTGCTAAGTATGTCAAGTATGTTTTAGTCATCTCTTACAGTTTGATGAAATTAAATTTCTAATATTACAAACAAGATAATATCATAAATGCATATTGTAGAATTCAACATTCATTTCAGTACGAATCAAAATTTTGCTCTAAGTTACGTTTAAAAACATTCACAGAGCTTCTTGCTAATTAAAAGGAATCTCGTAATCACATCCATTTGCAGATTAATTTTAAAATTCTTGTCAATGATTAAGCAAAAAAGTACATAGGTTAAGCAAGGTAAAAATAATAATATAATATCCAAAATAAAGGCTTTAAAAAAATGGGATTTGAAGATAAAAAAAAACTTGTTTGGTTGCTGTTGAATCAGAAACAAAGAGAAAAGCAATTTGTTAAAATCATTTTCAAATTTCATCAAGGGTGATCAGTTTTTCGTATTTAATCCTGTTACTTTAATAGTGATTTGACGAATTTAGATAATGACTTTGTTTTTTTCGTGTTTAAAAATTATTTTTTTTCCATTAGCGTACAGTACGTCTAAAAAGCGGACCGCCCTAAGTAACTTTTGATCTAATGATCGGATCTTCACGTTTTAGGACTTCATGTTAATGGTTCGAAAGGATGACTTTAAATATGCCAATTAATTAATGTAGACTAAATTTTAAGTTATGATATAGATAGAAAATCGTACTTTCTTTGAATGAATATGCATTTTTTCTCAACATATTTCTTTCCCCCAAATTGAATATTTTCTGAAAAATCAATCTTTAAAATTCAATTTCTTAGAAATTAATTGGCCTATTTTGCTCAAAGCATGTTTTACAATATAAACTTATGTACTTCAAAATGATGTAAAAAATTTTATATCTTAAAATTTTAAGTTTTTTTCGACTATTATTAAATAATATAATATAATATAATATATAATAATAAATATTTACTTAAAGTTATATTTTGCATGGAATTACTTACGGATAATAAAATTTTATAATTGCTTGCAAAAATATTTTAGTTCATTATAAAAATTCTCCAGATACGGTGATATACACAAAAAATAAAATAAACATTAAGGGGTCCAAGCTTTGGACAGCTCTTTTGACCATATAATGACCATCTTTCACCGATTGTACTACTCCCGTATTTTGAGAGGTCAGATATACAAATCCGTCGAAAAGAAGGTATGTTGTTCTAAGAAAGTGCATTTTTGTGTCAGCCCTAAATAACTTTTGATCTAATCCTCGGATATTTACGCTTAAGGACTCAATCTTAATAGTTCGCAAGTGTGACCTCAGACGATATTTAAAGTTTCGAATTCAGACACAAAAACGTACTTTCTCAGAATAATTAATAATTTCAGAATAATACTTTCTCAAAATATAGGGAGTAGCAGCAATGTGGAAAATATGATCTCCATAATTTGGGCAGGAGAACGATCTATAGTTTGAACCCCTTAATATTAACCGTACTTTCGTTAATGCTAATTTAAGTTAATTAAGGTTAATTAATTTATGTTAATTTAAATTTGATATCTCAGGAGCTATTCGTTCAAATTTTTGCCATGTAAACTTACATGTTTTAAAATGATGCAAAAAATATATACTTTACACTTCAGAATTTTTTTACTGTTATAAAATATACTGTTATAAAAAAATTTATTAAAAATATTAAATATTTACTATGATTTATTTTTCTTGCATAAAATTATCTTTAAACAAACAATACTAATAATTGTGTGCAGAAATTTTTCAATTCACTTAAGAAGTTCTCGAGATATGGCGAAATATGCAAAAAGTGAAATTAACATTAAGGGGTCCAAACTTTGGAGCAAACTCCTGATCAATCATATTATCCAGATTGCGACTACTTCCAATATTTTGGGGTGTTAGAAATTCGAATTTGTCGTAAAAAAAGTTACAATTGTTCAGAAAAAGTACGTGTTTGGGTCTGATTTCGTAACTTTAAATATCGTCTGTGCTAATTAATTTGCATATTTGAGGTCACCCCTTGATCCATTAAGTTTGAGTCCAAGAACGTGAAAATCCGATCAGTTAAAAAATAATTCAGGGTGGTCAGTTTTTTGTAGCACTGTACTCATTTTTTCCCTTTATTTGGCAAGGTTTCTAAAAATTCACAATAAGGATATCCCCTCCGTAACAGAAGAACTATTTTAAATCCACATGAACTGAACAATAACTTTACGAGACGATAATACTTACTGTAAATAGTTTCTAGCTGAGCATGTGTGCATTATTTAAAACATTTTTTTCATAGTTTAGTATAACTAAACGTTTTGAGCCACGTATGAAAAATTCTGTTGAATCTAATAAGATCTCAGAAAGTGAGAGACATTTATTTAATACCAATACACTTTGAAAATGATCTCTAAGTATGGTTACATCACTTACGGCTAATTTTACCAAGAATTATTGAAAAATATATATGAATTAAGAAACATTTTGAGATCGACAAAACTGAACGGAATTGTTTTAGTCTTCTTCCTCATTTATGTAAAACAAAGGTAGACTACTATGTCTAAATGTAAGCCGCTTCGAAGTAACTCTTTACCCGGCCAAAAGTGGTAAAGCACTTCCTCTTAAACAATTCAGGGTCATGATTAAGCAAATCCTTCTTCATGGCGCACAGTTTCATATATCAGACGAGCCTTTCTGACTCCAACGGGTTATGCTCTCACGAATGTTATTTGAATTTGGTACTGTCGTTATTCATATAGTATTAGTACCAGTACGTACTTTCTAGTAGATCCATTGATCGTTAAGACAAGCTGCTGGCAAACTTGTCTTAACGATCAATGGACCTACTAGAAAGTACGTACCACTTCCTGTGATACGTACTTGGGTGGTACCACTTTGTGGTGACCACTTTGATCAGCATGCAAAGGGACCGAAAGTGTGCAGTATCGGTCCTTGCTAAACTATTCTATCCTGAAGTGCTCAACTGTGCGCGCAGGTCATTGGGCAAAGCGAAGCAAGGGTTCATCCCCTCTAAAGAAGATCAAAATCCGTTGTGCAGTACTTGTGCGACATAAACCAGCAACATTTTCACAAGAAACTAATTTTATTTAAAGAACGGACTCTTTTTGAGAGACAAGTACTGTTATTTTAAGAAGAAAATTTTGCGATTTTAACAACAACTAAAAAGGTCTCTGTAAAATAACATAACAATCTCAGCATTTGTGATTAGCGCGAGCAGAATGCGCATAAGCAGTCAACGCCGGGTTTAGAGCCCGTGTCAAGTGCTCTGTGTCCTGAACCACTGGCCGTTTAGTTATGAAGAAAAATATTAAACTCTCTTTTTCTTAAAAGTCTAACATATTAAAATCATACTTAAATGTAAAAGCGTTTAAAACTATCTGTGGCAGTTTAACTTTCCATATAACTTGGTAGAATATCAATTCGCCGATGAAGTCGAATTGCAATTTTGATACGATGTTTAAAACCAGAGAATAATTTCAGAAAATTAAAAGCAAATATAAAAAATAATCGTGAAAAGAATTGAAAAAAAAGATGAGGTCATTTCACAGTAAGCAAATTTGAAAGGTAAAAACTAGAAATCGAATTGACAGTTTTATTCCGTTTATGATGATTAGAGTGAAAAACAGTCAAATATGCAGAAAAGGTTTACATAAGAACCAGAATTTTTCGCAGAATGCGAGTCATTGTTAAAAACAGAAAGAAAAAAACTCTGTATTTATTTTTAAAAAGAATTTCTCTGCAAAATTTTTTTTTTCTGTAGAATTTATAGTTATTTTTTTACAGCGAGTTTTTACTCTTTGAGTTGGCGGATCTAGGGTAGAACTTTATACTTTCATCGGGAATTCTTTTAGAACATATTGTCAGCCACTTTTGATTAACATCATTTCCCATGGAAGCATTTACTCAGAAATGCCAACTGCTCCGGACACGCCAAATTAATTTTAAAAAAACGGTAAATAACTGCAGAGTAAATTTTGCAAATATTTGACTATTTTTTTCTTGCTTTTCAACGGTTATAGCATGACTTAAGTACCATAAAGTAGTGAACGATATAAGCCTACGAATTATTTAGAAATAGTGGTGGATAAAAATCTATTAATTTGAATTTATTAAACCAAGAATCACAATGGATAAACTACCACTTTCAAAATATATATTTTCTGTCCGGAGCAAGTTGGCATCTCTGTTTACGTTACATTCCAGAGATGCCAACTGCTCCAGACAAGCCTAAATAATTAAAAAAACGGTAAATAACTACAAGTAAATTTTGCAAATATTCGACTATTTTTGCTTTCTTTTTAAAGGGTATAGCGTGACTTAACTACTCTAAAGTGGTGAATTATATAAGCCTACGAATTATTTGGAACTAGTGGTGGATAAAAATCTACTAAATTGAATTTATTAAATCAAGAATCACAATTGATAAACTACCACTTTAAAATATATATTTGCTGTCCGGAGCAAGTTGGCATCTCTGCATTACGATACACTGAATATAAATTATTTATTGTTACTCCGAAATAAACTTTAAGAAATAAAAGCATATTTATGCATAATATCATATTTTTATTGATACCTATTTACGTATCTGATATTACTATTGCATCGTCTGACATTGATAAGATATCATTTGTCACATATTTGTTTACTTTTTTTTATGTACTTCCTCATGTAAATGTCAATGAGTCTAATAGAAATATTATAAGTGCTATGTGAGCTAAAAATTATATATTCCATGAAACATTACATTTTTCATAAAAAGCGTAGCCGTTGTTTTTTATACATCCCAGCTAAGATGTATTGCAATGTTAGCGATAGAACAATTTATTTTACACTTGTGACTGCATGCCATCCAATTTTTATTTAACTATTTACCACCAAATTTTTATTCCGAAATGCTTCAAAATTTTGTGTGTTAGGAAATAATCTGAAGGGTAAGGGTAACAATAATGAGTTTCATTCATACCTGTCAACTTGTACGGTAGATGAAAAAGTGGAAGAAACATAGTGGAAAAAAACAACTTTCAAATTTGGAACAATTTTCTTAAAACAAAACTGTTAAGAAATCTGTATGCATAATTAACCGATATGGTACGTATCTTATTTACATATTTTCTTAAATAATACATATTTAATTAACATATTTACTAGAAATAAATGGCCCATGAAAGGGTTAAAAACACCATCGCCTGATTCTCACCCATATGTTCATTTATTTATCTATAGATGTAGTCAAATTCATTTTAAATTTGATTTGTAAATCCAAAATTAAATAGGAAGAAAAAATTTTACTTCCACTACATCAATAAAATTTTACTCATAATGCTTAAAACAAAGCATATAATAACCGAGAGAATTATAAATGCAACGTAAACAAACAGTAAATTTAATGACAACCATAATTTGAATGCAAAAAGCCTCGTCAGTTACATTCTCATATCGAAAGACGTCATATGGACGTCAATCCAGCGACATTTAATGACTAGCTCTCATTTTTGAAGATTTTAATCTTGGTTGTAGTGGACTCCAATTACAATACAATATTTCTTTTAAAATTTGTTACCTGAATTGAAACAATGTCAAGAATCTTTTTATTTAAAAAAAATTCCTCCATGATGAGCGGGTTGCTGAACGTCGCTGGATCGGAAAATCACCTCCCGGTCAACAAAACGTTAAGAACTAAGACATAAAGAAAAACATTAAATTCTTACTGTTTATTTTGTTCCTTCAGCTCCGGCGTTTCAGTGAAAAAGAAAGTTCCAATCAGCATTCGAAATTCATTGAAAATCGAAAAGATTGCAGGTATATGAATATCAGATAACTGACTAAGATAAGAGCATTCATTGTCATTAGTAACAAATAAAATAATCTAATGAATAACAATAGAAATACAAGACCAGAGAGAATGAATCTAATTAAATAAACAGTGTTTAAAATTATAGATTTGTAGTCAAAGTTCACATATCCATGCATATATTATCAATATGAGTGTCTTCAATTGCTTTAGGACGATCCCTTATGTTTCGAAATATATGAAAGCTATTAATTGCTGTGTTATAAAAAAATCAACACAAGAATAAAAACAAATTCGAAATTCAGATTTTTATATACTTGTATAATCAGGTATTAATTTCAAAAGTTTTGTTTTTCAAAATAAAATTTTGTTTAACAAAATTAAATCTATTTTAGCTTGCACAGCATCAGTAATTGAATGAAAATATATAGTTAAAAAACATTGTTTTTATTTGCATTGCAGATAAAGTCATATTAATATAGACAAATTTACAAAAAATAGAGTTATATTTAAAAGCAAAAATTATTTGTATCTATCTGTTAAATATATTGTATGATGGAATTATTAAGTACATTTTATAACTACATTTAAAAGTGCATTAATTTTTTAACTATTATTTTTTTAATAATTTGGTGTCCCATAATTAAAGAAATATCCAAACAAATCGCAGCTTGGACAAAACGCAAGCTTCAGTCATGATAAAGTATTTTCATGACAGCTTAAGAAAATAATATTTTTTATTTTTCTTATCAGTTCGAAAAGAACGAAAAAAAATATTTTAGGTCATAAACATAATTATCTTTTGGATTTTTCGTGCTAATAGGAAAATCGGAAAATGGTTTTCTTCATTTAAAAAAATGTTATTAGGTTTGAAGATTTTCTGTACGCAAATATAGCCCTAAATTAACTTAAAAAATTGAAGTTTCAGCTTTATGAAAATATTCCATACATTAACTCAGCCGTTTCCAAAAGAAGTTCATTGGAACCCTGGGGTTCCGAGGAAGGAAGACTGAGAATAAAGATATTTTTAACCGATAATGATAACATTTATATCCAATCAATAATTCATAATTTTTTTTTAATATTTCGCTTGTCAATATGATCTTCCTTAAGTAAAAAGCGACTGAAAAAAAATTTAAAATCTATTTCTTTTTTTCAATAATAATATATCGAACAAATTATGAAAAATTTATGCATTTAAAAAAGTTTCATAAGCTTTTCGCATCGTGCTTTCCAAGTTCAACAAAAATTATATCCTATAACTATTCATAGTTTATAATAGTTCTTTTTTGAAAACCATACTTTAGCTCATTTTATCCGTTTTTAGCTTATGCATACATCAAGAAAATATTCATAATACTAAAGCGACCGAAACTAATTACTACTTAAGTAATTATGTGAACGGCGATCGTTGACAGTTAGCAAAGTCAATGTGAGGCCTTTGCTCAACGAGGTAGCACACTACACATCCTGGAATCGAATTCTAGCACCCGAAGTATTCGATCCAAGCGTTCTCTTTCTCTCTTTTGAAATATCTGTAGCAGGGCTGAAAATAAGACGGAAACAAAAAATAGCTGATTATAAAACCAGTTTGTTGACGGATTTCATGATGAAATTAAAAGTACTCCGACTACGTTTATTTCACCCCTATTATTTTTATATCTTTTCTAACTACCCATAACTATTAACTTTAATTTTTATAAACCTTACGCTATAAATGTTTAAAAAAAACTTGGTAGTAAGTTTTCGTAAATTTCATAGTAGGATCAGTTACCCGTCTTTCGACCTGTATGCATGTCATTGGTTGATTTAAAATTTGTACCTTGTGAGTGGTTTCCATAACTAAATTCTGTGCTGAAATGGTTAAAAAAAAATTAAATGACCTAACGACTTTTATCCCACCCTTATTATTTTTATATCTTTTCTAACTACCTATAACTATTAACTTTAATTTTAATAAGCTGAACGCTATAAATGTTTGGAAAAAAAATAGTAGGATCAGTTGCCGACCTGTATGCATGTCATTGGTTGATTTAAATTCTTACCTTGTAAGTGGTTTCCATAGCTAAATTCTGTGCTGAAATGGTTAAAAAAATTATAAATGACCTAACGACTTTTATCCCACCCTTATTATTTTTATATCTTTTCTAACTACCTATAACTATTAACTTTAATTTTTATAAGCTGAACGCTATAAATGTTTGGAAAAAAAATAGTAGGATCAGTTGCCGACCTGTATGCATGTCATTGGTTGATTTAAATTCTTACCTTGTAAGTGGTTTCCATAGCTAAATTCTGTGCTGAAATGGTTAAAAAAATTATAAATGACCTAACGACTTTTATCCCACCCTTATTATTTTTATATCTTTTCTAACTACCTATAACTATTAACTTTAATTTTTATAAGCTGAACGCTATAAATGTTTGGAAAAAAAATAGTAGGATCAGTTGCCGACCTGTATGCATGTCATTGGTTGATTTAAATTCTTACCTTGTAAGTGGTTTCCATAGCTAAATTCTGTGCTGAAATGGTTAAAAAAATTATAAATGACCTAACGACTTTTATCCCACCCTTATTATTTTTATATCTTTTCTAACTACCTATAACTATTAACTTTAATTTTAATAAGCTGAACGCTATAAATGTTTGGAAAAAAAATAGTAGGATCAGTTGCCGACCTGTATGCATGTCATTGGTTGATTTAAATTCTTACCTTGTAAGTGGTTTCCATAGCTAAATTCTGTGCTGAAATGGTTAAAAAAATTATAAATGACCTAACGACTTTTATCCCACCCTTATTATTTTTATATCTTTTCTAACTACCTATAACTATTAACTTTAATTTTAATAAGCTGAACGCTATAAATGTTTGGAAAAAAAATAGTAGGATCAGTTGCCGACCTGTATGCATGTCATTGGTTGATTTAAATTCTTACCTTGTAAGTGGTTTCCATAGCTAAATTCTGTGCTGAAATGGTTAAAAAAATTATAAATGACCTAACGACTTTTATCCCACCCTTATTATTTTTATATCTTTTCTAACTACCTATAACTATTAACTTTAATTTTAATAAGCTGAACGCTATAAATGTTTGGAAAAAAAATAGTAGGATCAGTTGCCGACCTGTATGCATGTCATTGGTTGATTTAAATTCTTACCTTGTAAGTGGTTTCCATAGCTAAATTCTGTGCTGAAATGGTTAAAAAAATTATAAATGACCTAACGACTTTTATCCCACCCTTATTATTTTTATATCTTTTCTAACTACCTATAACTATTAACTTTAATTTTAATAAGCTGAACGCTATAAATGTTTGGAAAAAAAATAGTAGGATCAGTTGCCGACCTGTATGCATGTCATTGGTTGATTTAAATTCTTACCTTGTAAGTGGTTTCCATAGCTAAATTCTGTGCTGAAATGGTTAAAAAAATTATAAATGACCTAACGACTTTTATCCCACCCTTATTATTTTTATATCTTTTCTAACTACCTATAACTATTAACTTTAATTTTAATAAGCTGAACGCTATAAATGTTTGGAAAAAAAATAGTAGGATCAGTTGCCGACCTGTATGCATGTCATTGGTTGATTTAAATTCTTACCTTGTAAGTGGTTTCCATAGCTAAATTCTGTGCTGAAATGGTTAAAAAAATTATAAATGACCTAACGACTTTTATCCCACCCTTATTATTTTTATATCTTTTCTAACTACCTATAACTATTAACTTTAATTTTAATAAGCTGAACGCTATAAATGTTTGGAAAAAAAATAGTAGGATCAGTTGCCGACCTGTATGCATGTCATTGGTTGATTTAAATTCTTACCTTGTAAGTGGTTTCCATAGCTAAATTCTGTGCTGAAATGGTTAAAAAAATTATAAATGACCTAACGACTTTTATCCCACCCTTATTATTTTTATATCTTTTCTAACTACCTATAACTATTAACTTTAATTTTAATAAGCTGAACGCTATAAATGTTTGGAAAAAAAATAGTAGGATCAGTTGCCGACCTGTATGCATGTCATTGGTTGATTTAAATTCTTACCTTGTAAGTGGTTTCCATAGCTAAATTCTGTGCTGAAATGGTTAAAAAAATTATAAATGACCTAACGACTTTTATCCCACCCTTATTATTTTTATATCTTTTCTAACTACCTATAACTATTAACTTTAATTTTAATAAGCTGAACGCTATAAATGTTTGGAAAAAAAATAGTAGGATCAGTTGCCGACCTGTATGCATGTCATTGGTTGATTTAAATTCTTACCTTGTAAGTGGTTTCCATAGCTAAATTCTGTGCTGAAATGGTTAAAAAAATTATAAATGACCTAACGACTTTTATCCCACCCTTATTATTTTTATATCTTTTCTAACTACCTATAACTATTAACTTTAATTTTAATAAGCTGAACGCTATAAATGTTTGGAAAAAAAATAGTAGGATCAGTTGCCGACCTGTATGCATGTCATTGGTTGATTTAAATTCTTACCTTGTAAGTGGTTTCCATAGCTAAATTCTGTGCTGAAATGGTTAAAAAAATTATAAATGACCTAACGACTTTTATCCCACCCTTATTATTTTTATATCTTTTCTAACTACCTATAACTATTAACTTTAATTTTAATAAGCTGAACGCTATAAATGTTTGGAAAAAAAATAGTAGGATCAGTTGCCGACCTGTATGCATGTCATTGGTTGATTTAAATTCTTACCTTGTAAGTGGTTTCCATAGCTAAATTCTGTGCTGAAATGGTTAAAAAAATTATAAATGACCTAACGACTTTTATCCCACCCTTATTATTTTTATATCTTTTCTAACTACCTATAACTATTAACTTTAATTTTAATAAGCTGAACGCTATAAATGTTTGGAAAAAAAATAGTAGGATCAGTTGCCGACCTGTATGCATGTCATTGGTTGATTTAAATTCTTACCTTGTAAGTGGTTTCCATAGCTAAATTCTGTGCTGAAATGGTTAAAAAAATTATAAATGACCTAACGACTTTTATCCCACCCTTATTATTTTTAT